AAAAAAATCTGAGCAATTACCAAACTCTACTCTTCAAAACTGACCCCAAACGATCCCAATTTCTCTCCTGGCACACGTCCAATAGCGCATGTGCACCTTCGATAGCTGTACGACGACCTGGCGATTCGGTTTCTTCAGCAGCTTCTACTCGAGCACTTGGGGTTTTGATAAGGGTGAATTCCAATGGGAGGAATGATTCCAGGAGAAAATCGCCGCGTAGCCAAACCCATACTCGTATCGTCATCGTCGATTAGCTGTGAAGATGGTGAAGGTATTTAGAATGTAAATTTAGTAATGCTAAAATAAGAATAAAAAAGAATTGAGGAAAAAAACGAGGTAGATCAAAGGAAGCGGATTGACAAGAAAAGACATTAAAGCAATTTTTTTGGTATGGTAAAAATATACTTAACGAGTAAATGCTACAAAACATTTGCTTCGCCTGCAGAAAGTTTCAAAAAATTAAAAAGCGATATAGGGACTGCGTATGAGTAAGTATGCGTCGCATATTCAAAATTCCAATTTTGGGAGCAAAGGTGCCAACAAAATATCGAATGAGGTAAGTCCTGAAAAAGCGATAGAATTTCAACGGAGGGCGATGTTGCACAGCAGATGGTTGCCATAACAACCTGGCACATTGGTGCAAACAAGCGAGCGCAGTGGATGCTGGGTAAAGCGGGTCATAATTGGAAATACGATAATGTGGTTATATCAAAAGAAGAAAAGTATGAGTATTAAAAATTCAGCTTTGATTTGACATCTTTTGAAATATTATTGTTATATTAGATTAACCCATAAGTCTTGCATCGCCATTACCAAATAGAGAGAGTCACAGGAGTTGGATTGTTGAATATTTTTAGCGCTGAATGCTAAAATCAAAAAATAATGTCAGTTTTCGCTAATTTTTTTCTTTTACGTAAAAATACAATTTTTAAATTTCTTGTTTCAACTTTCCGATTTCTTCTTACCCTTTGAATCGGGGCTCGGCACAGCTGGCACCGCAAGCTGGATATCGTTTTGCGTTGAAAAACAAAGGGAATATCGTTTTTCCGGGGTCCGGGGACGAGTCTCGTGAAAAAATTGCTGAATTTCCGACTGCGGAGCAGACAGAGAAATTTTCAGATGGCTATAAATTGCTGAAAAGAAAACGTTATGCAATTGTTTTTTCCCCGTATGTAAACATTTACAGTGTAGATACAATCCATGCAAAAAA